AACACAAGAAGACTGTGACATGACAGCAAACAAGATAGCTTGTCTTTGCCTCCCTCATTGAAAAAAACAGAGTAGCTCTGAATTCAGATTCCAGTTCTGTACAACTCAGTGTGTCACCACAACTCTCTTTCACAGATCTCCTCTCTCGTGTTTGAATTGGGGAGTTGAGAATAAAACAGCAGGAGTTACGATCACTCCATTGACTGTTTCCCTCTCTGACCATTCTCTCAGCCTCACAAAACTATAAGGACACACGCATGACTCTCATAGGCTGGGATCTCATTTCCTGACAGGAGGAAACCCAAATGGAGTGTGTGTTGTCATCTTGCCCCCCTCCCTTGCACATGCTCACACACTGACACAGCTCACCCCTGACTTTGTCTAATGACTCTCCTTTTGAGGTGCAGCCTGGTAGAGGTCATGACCCCCTCCATTCACCGCAGATGGTGGCACAAAGACAGGCGGAGAGCTGAAACTGACTCCTGACGATCGACTCTCCTCTGAGACACCCGCTGCTCCACAGGAAGAGCCATGCAGCTGCTGCAAGGTCCCAGGTGATGAAGATACCCCGACCACCCCACAAAAAAACCCCAAATCCAGACCCAAAGTCTAAGACTCCTAAAACCCACAAAAGCCTCACCGGGGATCTGAGATCAGCTATCTGAACACGTGAACACACATCCTGGTGTGGCTGCCTGGCCTCTGAGTCACACTCTAAAGACCAAATTTTTTAAGCAAGGTGTTTCACTATGTTTACGCTCACTCATACAGATGGGGTTATGACACCAGAAATCACATAAAAACTGGATTTTGACTAGGAATAAAGTGTTACTGTTTTAGTTCTTTACAGATTTCTGGTGTTATACTGTATTACAGGGTTTTTTAAGCAAGGTGTTTCACTATGTTTACGCTCACTCATACAGATGGGATGGAAAAATATTAGAATATTAGAAACACCTCTCAGAACAACACAACACAAGTTAACAGCACCACAATATATCTTCTACAATTAATTAATAAATTAATAAAGTTATTGCAAAATGCCTTTCTATAAGGTTTCAGCAGAAATGGAAGATATAAAGAACAGATTTATTGCTGTATTTGACACCAGCAATTTTAGCTAAGTTTACCTAATAAACTACTGTTAGTGGCTATCACCACTAAGGCTCTAACTAATGTTTATTATTATTATTATTAACTGACTATTATTAATTGTTAACTATTTTCTCTACTAATCTATTAGTGATATTGTGTATAAAATGTCAAATAACAGTAAGAACGTGCAGGAAAATGTCCTAGAGAATTTTTTTTTTTTTACATCACTCAGTGTGGTCCTGACAGCATATGGAGGATTAGTTTGGGAGATCAATCACTGCAGACTGGGTGCTGTCTCAGCAGGCTGTACTAATGATAACACAACCACACCTAAAAACACACATACACTCACCTACTGCCACAACAAAAACGGTCTGCTCTGCATGAAAACGCGCGGGCTGTGCCATTCAAATCCACTGTGGCAGAGATGAATGTCAGTGGATGTGAATCAAATTTATAAACAGCAACAACAAATGAGGCTCAGAGTGATAAATGTCGGCGTGACTAATTCATTTCACAGTAGTTTATTCAGAGCTGGGCGCAGACACTGACAACTATGACAGTGATAAATGCCAAGAATATGATTTGCGTAATTGTTATGCTGCATTAACAGACTTCGTTTTAGCCGAGGTCTTTGACCAGTCACAATGAGCCTAATGCTGAACTTGTAATTTAGCAACGGTTTCATAGGGACCACTCTGTCCTCAGAAACTACCAAGTGTTGTAGGCTGGCCATTTCAGAGAGTGTGGTGCAAACAGAGAAGGGAGCCACAGAATACAACCCGTGGGGTTTTCCTGGTTGTGGAACTGACCGTGTGAAGTGGTCCACCAATGCGCCCACCATCTCGCCCACTCGGTCCTGGTTGGGACACAGCTCCCCTCGTTGAAGACATAGCAGGACATCATCCTGGGAGAATGTGTGTAGCACCACCAACTGGTCAATGCCACTGGTCACACTTAGTCCAGTAAACTGTTAAGAGAAACAAAGCCACAATGTCAGACACCAACACACCAGCTCTGACTGAGTACACAGCAAAAGTGAACATGTGAAGGTAAAATAAAGGTAAAGTCATGAGACCCAAGTGAAATAATTTACAGATTGGACACACACAGGTTAATCTAGCAGGGATGGCTATGTGCAGGATGTCCCAAATTCTTGGATAATGTGTCCCTTCAGAGGAGGCAACAATACAGCATAATTATACATGTGTATGCCTTGACTTAAGGTATTAATTTATTGTTTCAATATTTTCTTTAAACCATATCCTCCATATTTTTTAACAAAGAAATCACAGGGTTCTCCCAGATAATGCAAAGACCTTGTAGGCTTATATTGTGGTCACCAGTTGATTTCAACACTGTTCCTGATAAATCATGTTTTTGTCTGTTAGTCTGTCTCTAAATACTACAATACCCATGAGCCTCGGCTACTGTTGGCATGGATACAAAGCCAGTGAGACGTGCCAATCAGAGCAGTAGTAAACTCAGGATGATTCACTGTTGCAGTTGAGAACAAAACAGGGCACCAACGTTGATGGATTCATTTGGGAATCAACCCAGAATCAGAAAGTAAATCAAGTGAAGCTGCAGACTGCATTTCCAGTTTTGTCAGCTCTGTAATCTTTAGCTTCTGGCCAGTGCACATGTAACAGAAATCTACACTCAGTGAATTGATGTTTCTGCGCCGAAGAATTTCATGTACACAAACTTGTATGTTTGACTTATAATCAATAATCATCATCAGCTATTTATTGATGATGGTCAGATGTGACTCTGTACCGCAGAGTCTGGTGACACAGTGTTAGGACAGAGTTGCAGTGCTTCTTTAGCACCATATTCTGTTTTTCTGACCTGGATAAGACTTACATGCCTCAATCTGAGCAGCAGAGCTTAATAGCTTCAGCTATCTTTAGCTGCTCCGCTGCTGCATAATGATGGTTTTTAACCCTGTGGCATATTTAGTGCTCTCTTTCTCTCTCTCCTTATCTTACTCTAAAACCACTGCTGGACGTCCAGCTGTGCTGACTCATTATGTGCTGTGCTGTTGCTTCTGGTCTTCACTGAAACTACATTCTGAATACAGGAGAGACCTTACCTAAAGTAGTGCAACATCTGATTACTACTGCCAGCCAAACCCTGATACTTTCCTTAAGGTCCATCTCCCTCTGAGCATTTTTGTCTGTCCTGGTGAAGTCACAGTGAGGTGGACAGGTACTGTTTCTCAAACAGGTCATAAGCCCTTAGAGTGAAAAAGGAGGCACAGTGCTCTTGCACTCTGCTCTTGTACTTCTCTTACTTATGGACATATGGCAGCGACCCAGGTGTGTGTGTGGAGTGAACAGAGAAGTGCTGAAATGGGATGACACATCAAGAAATAAAGGGTAGCTAAGATAAAGCACAGTGGGTCTGCTGTACAGTGTTTCTGTGTTTCTTGTTTATGTCATACTGTGGGAACACAAACCTTACAAGCCTGGCTGGTCCCCACTGCTTTGTTTGCTTTTCCCCTTTGTATTTTTTAGGCTCATTATTTAACAGTTTAATGCTAGAGCTGGGTCTCAGTTAAAGAGGAAGCCCTACAGTTTTACACATCATGATCAGTTTACTCCTCATGGGCAGATTTTGGAGCTTTACATGAGGGACCAAAAGCAAGTAAGGTGCCTCTCGACTTAACTGTATGGAAGTACAATAATAAATCTCTAAAATACCCATTAAAAGGCAAAGTTAACCATGGCATTAAATTATTTTTATCATATATAATTTTTTCATTTTAATCAACTGATCAGCTGACAAGATCAAAGCCACAAATGAATTCATCCCATGAACAGAAATTGTTTGTGTATCTAGTTTGAAATAGCAAATTCCCCTCTCCCACAACTGTTTACTGCTAAAAACACAAAATATATTAATAATATTTATACTGATAATATTAAAGCTCCATTGTGATGAACATGACCAGTGAATTCAGACATTGTATGCTCTAAACATAACTGTGTCATCATAAAGGTGTTGGGGGGGAAGTAGTTTTATAAGATGAACAATCTGAGCAGGCTTGTACTCTGTGTTCATGCTGAGAAGAACAAAGTACCAACATGAAGTTTTTTGACATAAAAAGAATCACAAAAATTCAACAATAGGGGCCTGTCAGTAGATGTGCATGTAATAGGTTTTGGATGACAATGGAGCACTAAAGCAAGTATACAGCATTCTCTGTAGAGGCAGTTGAAAGGAGTACCCAAGGTAATTTTATGCAGATTGATCTCAAGTCAAAGTTTAATCTGAGCTGTGGAGAGTTCCTGCCTCAAGTGGAGGAGTTTGTATCTCAGGGTCTTGTTCACAAGTGAGGGAAGGATAGAACGGGAGATTGACAGGCGGATCGGTGCAGCTTCTGCAGAAATGCGGCCGATGTACCGGTCTGTCGTGGTGAAGAAGGAGCTGAGCTGTAAGGCGAAGCTCTCGATTTACTGGTCAATCTACGTTCCGACTCTCACCTATGGTCATGAACTTTGGGTCATGACAGAAAGGGCAAGATCCCGGATACAGGCGGCCGAAATGAGCTTTCTCCGCAGGGCGGCCGGGCGCACCCTTAGAGATAGGGTGAGGAGCTCGGTCACCCGGGAGGAGCTCAGAGTAGAACCGCTGCTCCTCCACATCGAGAGGAGCAAGTGTCTGGAGAGAGGGAAGTCTGGGCATCTTTGCTTAGACTGCTGCCCCCGCGACCCGGTCCCGGATAAGCAGAGGAAAATGGATGGATGGATATTGCTACACAGACTACACTACTTACTAGTACAAATTCACTATTGGTTTTGGTTTATTGATGAAATTTTTGTTGATCATGTCGAAGATTTTTTTATTTCTGAGTTTAGAAAATGAATGCATTCACTGCAGAGTCCCTACAAGGATAGCAAAGGAGTTTGCGTGTTATATTTGTTGAACGTCTGTGCATTCACAGTGCTCTCTCTCCTGTGAGTACTTACTGCATCTAAAGGAAGCCTCTTCAGCACCTTGTACTGCTTCTTTGGCTCTAATTTGTAGAAGTACTTGTCTGTGACAAGCAGGCCACGGTCTGTGCTTTTGTTGAATCTATTCACCTGAGAAAGCAAAGGAGGGAATCACAGAGAAAGAAAAGGGTAAGACTACACATTCGTTCATTTTGTGGTTTCTGTTGAGCTTTTTTTTGCAACCTGTAGAGTCTTGTGAGCTTCACTATTCTCAGTTCAAAACAAGTTTTCCTTGTGAAGCTGCAAATGAGTAACACACATAAAACAAAATGAAAAAGGAAGGACAAATGCTTGGGTGCGTCTCTCAGTGATGAAGGTTGTTTTATCAAAGCCCTTATATCTTCATATAAACTAAATCTAAAGTTTTAACCACAATTTTGAAAACCCTCTCTCTAAAATCCCTGATAAGGAAAACATGGCCACTATTATCCATAGGGAGATGATAAGAGCAATTTTCATCATGAGGTAAAGTAAGAAGCATTCAGCTGACTCAAAACAGGCAGGCTTAAAAGAGAAATTCAGAAAGGAATTCATAGTTCAGTTACCTTCATAATTAATCCTCTGATTATATTTTTATCTCCTTTAAGGGAGGGTTGTTTTGACAGTTTGAACATGAATTTTGAAAAATGAGCTGACATAAAAGAGACAAAGAGCATGGAGGTGCAAATAGGCACACATCAAGTGGCAAAAACATTCCACAGCTAAAGAAAAGCAACAAACTCCTTGTGGCCACAAAGAAGATATTGTACTTCCATTTCATAGTGTTTGTTTCCCTCATATTGTACCTTCCTGCAGATGCCAGAGAAGAGGACATGACTGTACTCGTCTTTGTTCCTTAGCTCCTTGGAAATGCGAATGAAGCTGGAGCTGGTCTGAGGGCAGTCTCGCACCTGCAGAAATTAAAGACCTAAACTGTTAGAAGAAGCTTTGCCACAAGCTACAGTACAGATGGTATTAGAATGTACAGTATCTCATTTTTATTTGTCAGACTGTAGGTGGCCCCCCTTAGCCTCTTTCAAGTTTTTTGTCCTTAAGTGGCAGATCAAAGCTCAGGGTCTCGGGCCACTGTTACCAGACACAGTATAGCACAGTATCTACCCAGATATTTGATCTTAATGTCAGCCGCATACAGGTCACAATTCTGGCTGACTGCAGACCGCATTACATGCACTTATGCAAAGGTCATGTGAAACTAACTACAATCACATGAAGCCCTGAAGGAGACCAACAAGTCACAGGCCATCTACCCAACTAACATGTGGAGTGACTCAGGACACGGCTAGAAACTGCTGAGTTTAGAATATTTTAATATAATGATGTCTTCCAAAGGTCAAAAATGAACCCCCATGCTAAGGGACTATTTAAACATGACAGATGATAGAATGTGAAAAAGACTTCTGTTTGGTTCAACTGAGATTCTTACGTTGGCCAGGTAGTCTCTCTCCCAGGCTCTGCTGACTCCCCAGTCTTTCCTCTCTCCGCACAGAGCAGTCAGCGCTGCCACTTTGGCCCGAACCTCCAGCATGTCAGACGGAGGGATGTTCTTCACAATCTGCCTCGCCCACCACCTGACAACAAGGGATGAGAACAAGACATTGAAGTGCCACGTGGGTGGACTAATACAACAAAGGTGCAACAAAAATATACAGTAGGAGGTGTAGCTTCAAGTTAAAGGCTGTCAAGAATAAAAATAGACTTTACCTGCAGATCCACATCCTGCTCACTCATTCACACACAAACACACACTACATCCCAAGTCTCTGACTGTGTTCTGATATTTTTATGGTGCATGGGTTCTGACCTGCGATGGAGCATGACTGTATTGTTGTGAAACTGGGAAAGAGCTGCAGGAGTAGTCAGCCATATTTCGCACATTAGCGAACCTCCGTTCCACCTCCCAGAAGTGAGCTTTGACCTTGTAGCGCTTATAGCAGCCCATTATGGCGTAGATGGCCCTCATCCGCCGGCACCTCATGCGAGCTAAAGCCCCACGCCACACCTGCAAGTTTTAGAAAAAGAGGGACATGTTAAAGACACAAACTAAGAGAGGAGAAAGGTGTCTCCTCTGTGTCCTGCTGAGCTGAAGACAAACTTGTGCTCCAGTTAGAGATCCTGGCTTCTCTGCAAAGTCATCCAAGTAGGTCAGGGGAAAGAGAAAGGATAAGGGTATTTCACTTAGCAAGTGAAGTATATGACTTTAATGTAACTGTGCTCTGGATCTCATTAATTATCCCAGTTACTGTTACAAGAAATTAGAATTCAAGCAGGCAGATGAATTTCAGTCAAACATAACCAGGAGCCACATATTCATGAGGCTGAGGCAAACTGCAATGCTGAAACCCAGCAGCCAATGTTTGAAACTGGACAAGATAACACTGTGGGTGATTAACTGCAATCGTAAGATCTGATCTGCCCGTGATATTAAATTAGATCTGTGTTAATTGATTGGACTGTCAGATCAATATATCCCCATAAAATACAAGCACGGCTTTAAAACACAGCCACAGAAATCTGACATTCAAAGTTTCAAATCATGTTGAGGCTGTAGGTGAACAGTAAATACAACAAATACAAGACTGATAGCAAATAATATAGTAATATTTATACTAAAATGGGTGACCTTCTGCAGTAAGAGCACCAAGATGGGGATGAGGGCGGCTCTCTCTTGCTCCAGGGTGAAAAGAGAGCGTGGCGTTCGGACAAACAGCTTCGTGTTTCCGTACGCCACGTCATCCTGGAAACCGTGGTGGGTGATGATAGCCTCCACAGCCTCCCTGTCGGAGCTCATCAGGTGGTTCGGCCAGGTGTACTCATACGTCATTTTATATCTGCAGAACATTCAAGAGGTAGAGAGAAGAGATCAGTGTGATGATGATGGCAGCACTGTTGTTCAGTATCTCTAGGTTTATCTACAAGGGTGAAAGCAAGCGACATTACAATCACTCCCGTTTCTGTAAAAGTTAAGTAACTGGTTTCTTTTAAAGGGGGACTCCACCAATTAAACATGCCAAAATCAATTTACTAGTTAAGGGGAGTACTACTCAGCCAGTTGCTTGATGTCTTTCTGGATCTGGATGAGCTAGCTATACTTTGCATTATGAGAAGTGTAGCATCATGTGTTTTAGGAGAAGTGTTATTTTTAAATGATGTATTTTTCTTCAGCTGGGCGTAAAGACAGCTTTGGTCAATATAATTCAATAATTTTAAGCAAAATTTCATCAGAGTAGCAATGCTTCTATTTGAATTAAATGCTTTGGTAGATTTTACACCACTGGTGAGAGAGAGAGACAGGGTTTCAATTTTCTCTCGGAGGAGTTTACCAAAGAGTTGAAACACTGAAGCAGTCGTGTTTCCCAAAGCATCTCTACGTAGTGAACAACAGCGTTCTCTTACCGCTGCAGGAAGCGGGAGTAAAGCTGTCTGTAGGCAAAGCCTGCCCTGCGCACCCTCACATTTTCCAGCAGCCCGAGGTAGGCCACCTGGTGCTGACAGCGAGCATCATCAAACAGCACCGGCGACTTCCCCTCGTTGGGCTTTATGCATCTCACATAGTATGGCTCCTGGAAGACAGAAAAAGGAACTGCAAATTACTCTACAACTGACTCTGTTGTCAGGCATGTTGAGAGATCAGATGACACCAAATACCTGCCAGCTCCTCATACACATATTTTGATTTACTGTAATATATTTTGGCTGAACTTTCCAAAAGGATTAGTGAAGTATGACATCATCACAAATACAGTAGGTCATGCACAGTTTGCAGAAAAATATACAGTAACACTGCACTTGAATATTGTTCTCTGCTGTTAAATGTAACTTGCCAACTTCACCTCCAGCTGGACAAGATCATGTTAACTTTTACTTCACTAATTTTAAGTAAAATTTCATTAAAGTAGCTATCACAGTTGTAAGGCTAAAGTACTTTGCATTATCTTTGATTTTCTCATGTTTTATCACTGTTTTCATCAATGCTGTGTTCAACACTGTGTGAATAAATAAACTAAATTCGGCTTGTAAACTGTCACTGAGCCACAGCCAAGCTGCAAAACATACCAGGTTTAGCAACCTTAATCAGACGTGTACACTATTTCACCAGATGCTACAGTGAGCAGATGAGCCTCATAACACACTGAACAGCACATTAAAACCTTGAAGATGATAAAGCCTCCTGTGTGGAGTTACAGCTGGATGCCTGCAGCTTGACAAGTATCTCCAAGGGACATGATATCCTCTCAAAAAACAGAGACTGCTGTGTTTTCACTGTCTATCACTCTCTGTCCATGAAAGATGAACAAAATGAGCACTTTCTGAGGGCTCCCTGACACTGTCATACATCTTTTCAATGATGCATGTGCCTGTGTGCCCCCAGTGTCAACTCAGCTTGGCAGAGAATTAATAAAAGCAAATGAGATGGGCAGACTGGGCAAGGGTGCTCCTGAACAGTCATTGAAGGAAGCATCTGCTCTTTCAATGTGACCTGAAGGTGAAAAAAAAAACACAGCTGCCAGGGGAGTTTCCTTTCATTTTCCCTCAGCCACACTGAGATGAGATTGCCCACAATAGGCCACCCCAAAATAACAGCAGGAAATGTCAGCCTTCAGTTGGTGACACAAGGCCAGGAGATATGAGCAGCACATTTTGTGGTCCACCATCAACTCCTGCTCATCACTCTCCCAACCCAGCTCACAGTCAGGCAGGATGAGGACAAGTGACCTACAAAAACTGTTTCTCTCTGACACCAAAAAGAGCGCAGTGGTACATATGTATACGTGTTCAGGCTGGACATCTGGGCATCTTCTTCTCACTCCATAGTTTGTCATGCATGGTGACGAACGCACATTGGCAGCCTCCGAAAATCCTGTGACTCACACAGGCCTTACAGGGACCAGAACACTCTATACTGGTGCAGAGCATCGTACTGATGATCACTAAACACTAACACTGACATAAATATATAGCAAAAAGTGAGCCAGTGCCCTACAAAGCCAATACAGTAACTACAGATTTGGTCAAAATAGAATAAATGCCAGGCTCTGAATGTTCAGTATTTGTTTCCCAAATAACAACTATAATGCCACAGACATGTCACAGATGGGCACAAAACCTGATAGAACGCATTTGGTTCTTCATCCAAATGCAGAATAGAGTAGTGTATTTAAGAGGATTGTAGGTTATAGAGTGAAAAATGAAAGTATTACATCCCTTCTGTCTGTTACTGAGCCTCCCAGCCAGCCTCAGCTTCATAGCTTCACTGCTCTTTGACTTTTCAGAGGAGCATTTTGTCTTTACTTTATTCTTTAAAGAATTAGGTAGAAGCTTTATTTAGTCCAAAAACTGCAAAAGATTTCTATAGGTTTCCTGTGGAGGTATAAAGAAAGAAGGGGGAAATCAGAAGCAGAAGCCACTGACCTTGCAGGACAGTTTATCCACCAAGGCCACAATGGAGTTCTTGAAGAGGGTGGCGGCAGTCAGAGGTCGTTTGGTGACCTCTGTGATGCTCAGCTGACCATCTGGCCACATCTCCTTCAGGACTGGGTTGGCACTTTGAGAGAGAGAGAGAGAGAGAGAGCGAGAGAGAGAGAGGAAGGAAAAGGAGGCAAAGAGCAAAGAAAGGACACCATTAACTAGGCCAGCAGAGAAGAAACTCACTTATACACCTAACCCAGTTACTGAACTGTCTAGAGCATCATGATGCTGGAACCGTCAATGAAGATTATTTGGCACCTGTTGTACATGAGGCGCTTGAAATCTTGGAAAAGCAGATCCTTGTTTTTGTCCAAAAAGCCCTCAACGGAATATCTGTAATAGACACAGAGGGAGAAAAATATGAGTAATCCACAATAACTGGCCAAAAGTACTTTGAATGCAAGTGGGAGGCCCCACTAAAACCTGGAGTGTCAGGAAGAGTTGAGACACAGAAATTACAAGTCAGTCAGATAGAGCATAGATATACAGTTCTCTCTCTATCATTACTTTTTAATGGACTCCACTCTGTGCTCCAAATGATTCACAGCCCTCAGGCTAGAGGATCACAGCAACAGTAATACCACTTAGCTGATTTAGCTTTGTCAGATTCTCCCCATAGATCACATTTTGGAAAAAAATGAACTGTCTGCAAACCGGTCTGTCTGCTCTTCTTTCAGACTGCTCAGCGGGGTTTGGTGAGGCATTAGTAGGAGGTCACAGCCGTACTGTAAAGCACAGGCCGTCCAGCCCCAGTATAAAAGTCTGCTGTAGAGTAAGTGCTGCATCAAATAAGCCTCTCCCTCTCAGCTCTCACTCACATTTCAACAATAACTCACGGTGCGTCCTTTTTACAAAACACACAAATTTTGCATACTTAAGTATAATTAGCTAAATGTACTAAAAATATCGCAAGTAAAATTGCCTCTGTGAATTGTGCATTATTGTATATTACATGCCCTGTGAAAGAACAGCAACCTGCCTAGGGTGTACCCCATTTCTCACCCAGTGGTGGCTGAAAATTTGAAAGATGTTAGCTGCTTGGGCCCCAAACACTTATTTTGTCTCAGGGAATTTGACAAGTGGCCCTAAGGAGAAAAACCACTGGCTTTATATTCAACAATACATCACATTTTATTAGTATATTACATATTTTTATTTAGGTGTAACTAGTGTAGTGTAAATGACTAGCATTTATAGCTGTAAGATAAATGTTGTGGAATAAAAAGTGCAATGCTCCATGAAGTGAAGCTGAATAGAAAGTGGTATGAAATTTAAAAAAAAAACTGTGTAAAGTACAATGACCTCAAAGCTGTACAAAAGTACAGTACTTCATTAAGTGTATTTAGGTATTTAGTTACTTTCCACCTCTACAGTACAATAACTCCAACTCAGACATCTCCTCTACATATTTTTCTGCATCCCTCCCTCTAACAAACATACTGTCACATGTTGTCTGTGACTGTGTCCTAGGCCGTCACATCTGGAGGCAAAGAAGCGTAGGCTAGCTGTGACAGATGTGTCCCCTTGGCTCATGGGCGTTGAAACCACCTGACCAGATTCCAGGAAGAGAGACAGAGTGTGAAAGGAAAACAGAGAGCAGGCAGAATAACAAGACATAACATTCATGTACAAGGACAGGGTCATTGCTGGGACAGCACAGATAAGAGAAGATACGCAGAGATAAAGACAGTGCCTCTCCAGAGATGGGAGGAAGGCATACTGAAGTATGAACATCAAGGCTGGTACAAGGAAAGGGCTGTGTTGTACAAGGTGAAAGGGAGAACACGCTGAGACAGTCAGGCAAAAAAGATGAGAAATTTCTTGTAATGTGAAGTTATGCAATAAGGGAATATACTATATCTTATGGCTGCTCAAAGTGCTACATATGCAGGCTGAAATACTGCAGGGAGTTAAGAATGTGGATGGCAAAGAGAGCCAGGTGAGGGTTGCAGTACAAAAGGAGGAGAAAAAGAAGAAACAAAGAGGAGGAGGAAGAGGGAGTGAAGTAGGTCAAAGCTTGTGATAGTGGTGGTTTGGCTAGAGTGGAGAGGGGCCAGCAGGAAGAGAGGACAGGGGTATATTTAGCCAGAGTAAGGATAGACTCAGATGTGATGGGATGGGACAGGGGATGATGGGGGGCCAGTGCCACCTGGAAGCAATATACGACGGGTCACAGCTCAGGTGGAGCAACCCCATCGTGACCCTGAGATAAAGTGAGGCCAGGTGACAAGGGCACACAGTGACAGGGGCAGCCATCTGTCATTACCACTGCAGGTCTGTCACACACACATACACACACACACAAATACAGCCCGTCACATTAACGCTAACGGTGGTGGAGTGTAACTAAGTGTCTTTACTCACATACTGTACTTAACCAAGTATTTTTGCAAAACAAATTTTTAATTTGATATAACTTTTCCAGCAAGCTTGTTAGCAAACAGTTGCTTACTGTATTCACATATCCAGCCATCATGCAGCAGCATTAGCTTTCATTTGGAGTTGTGTTTTTCATGCTAAATTCTCCATTATGTTCACCAGCAACTGTGTCTGACATCCTCCGGTGTAAATATACTACTAATTTCTATGGTGGATTTCTGCAACCTTTAGAGATATATTTTCAAATGTAAGACTCCTCTAAGATCTTAGTTCTGGTTCTATATCAAGAAGCAAATTATTTGTTTAACGCCATACATTACTCATAAACCAGGATGTGATCAGTATTAACCAAAATCTTTTCAGGAAACTAAATATGATTGTTAACTTAATTTCTGCTTTTTCTGGTAAGTAAAGCTGTCACTATAGACCACTGGAATGCCTCTGTGAATGCTCCTGCTGCTGCCAATGTCATAAACTGACTATTTTAACAGGATTATAAGGCTTACAGTGTACCCCAGACTCCTTACAACATCCTATCACTTTTTCAGCCACACACTGGCCTAAGCTAAAGCAAACAATTATAACACAAGTGTGTGAGACATACGTGACGTCTCCGGCATAGTGGCGGATACGGAAATGCTTCTTAAAGTCCATGGTTTTGTCCGAGGGGCTGAGCTGAAAACAGGAAGAGGATGGTGTGAGTGCTGAGCCAACAGTAAAAGATAAGAATAAACAGAATGCATATTACATTTACAGTGTGTAGAGATTTCGATATTAAGAAGCCTGAGTTGCTTGCAAGCATCTTATGATGTCTGACTGCAAAACATTGGAGAAAATGCCCTCTAGTGACAGAAACACAAAACTGCACCTGTGTAGTGGGGGGTTTTTTTGTACACACTTCTATTATTCAAGTCCAAATGAATCTTTCTGAGAATACGTGCAACATATATGCAGTCATTTTTGATTGTATCTTTCTATATTTATACAGTTTCCTGTAGTTTTAGTGGTTAAAATTCAAATTTTGCTTAAGGATAAGATTTCATTTTTCAGAATTACTGTAGGTCAGAGGAGAATATGTCAACAGTAAATCACCACTCCCTAAGTCAGTCAAGTCACACGTCCCTTTTTAAACATTTTTTTCTCAGTTTCATTCTGAGCTTTTAAAGATGTGCTGCTTTTGTGGAGTAGCTTAAAAGTAGGAAGTGCTGTTACAAAAAATCTGGATATTACTGGCAAATTTATCCTCTTTTACCTCACTGACCGCTTAGTGGACTAGTCATGCAAATTATGAAGTGTGTGATACTAACAGAGAGAGTGAGATAAGATGATTTTCCAGCCTTTTCTTCCAAGCTACTTACAGGAAAAGGTTAGAGCTGTATGTTACAGGGTTGATTATTAATCTTTATACAATGTAAAGAACAGCTTGAAGCTTCAACTCTTTACAAATGGCACAGTCACATGAGGCGGCCAGATGAAGTCTCACAGATGATGCTGTGCTCTGGTCGTACCTTACGGGAGGTGTAGTGGGGGTGCTGGGCCAGTTTGGTGTCCATGCTGTCCAGGCAGACCATGTCAGTGACTTTACCAACAGTGAGGCAAGCTTCATCCAAAATGGAGATGATCCCCTTGTGTGGCTGCTCCACGAGATCAACAATGATCTGGTTGTTGAAGTACTCAATCTGCATACAAACAGTACAACTACTTAGTACATAAATAAAAATAAAAATAAAAAACAGGCTGATTTTTATCAACAAAGTGGTTACTCAATTTATTGCGATGTGAGCTTGTACTTGTGTTTTGTTATTATTTTCATATGCAACAGTTTCACATCATCATGGATCTGTGTATTATTATGCAACTGATGGAGAGGAGCCATTTTGGATGTTTTAGGAAGAAAAATAATGCTGAGATGATGTTTTTATAGTTCTGGATTTAACTTCTGCCTTAAACGCAGAGTAACTGTAAATTAGTAGGGCTTGATCTGCATATGTGAAAATGTTTTTTGCTTAAAGAGCAAATGTGGACAATGAACTTCTTGCATTTGTGTGCTATTGCTTGTCTGTGAGTGTTTCTCACATGCTGCCAGGTGATGCTCTCTCTCTCATATTCATCTTGTTCCTGTCGGAGGATCAGCTCAATGAAGAGCTGTTGCAGCTTCTCATTGCAGTAGTTTATGCAGAACTGTTCAAAACTGGCCCAATAAGAGAGAAGCAACATCATCAACACTGATGAAATATTTTCCATTGAAATTAACACATACAGTACATTTCACAACACCAACCTGTTGTTGTCAAAGATCTCAAAGCCATAGATATCCAGCACACCAATCACAGTGTTTTTCCCATGAAGGACTGGGTTGTAGTCTTTCACTTCAATGACACTGTTGATGCGGGCGACTATCCAGCCAAAAAGCCTCTCATACAGAGCCTACAGTGATTGTGTGTTTAACAGAGGCAGAGATTAAAATAATGTGACAACTGTAAAAATTAGATACAATGAAAGCAAGTTACAGTGATGATGTTAACGCAATTCCCCATCTTAGGGAAGCTGTAAGATTAATCTCATGCTGAATCTCATCCTGATTAGTTGCTCTGTCCAAGGAAACAGGGCTGCATGATTTGAAAATAAATATGCAGAGCACCTTGGCAAAAGCGTCCCGTCCAAAGCAGGCGTCCTGCTCCGTGTGGCCCTTCTCGATGACCTCACCACCCCCGGTGGCCACAGTGCGGTAAAGCAGGCTCTTACAGATGCTCTCTGGATCTGTGGCTGTCAGCTCAGAGATGTGATTCACAGCTTCAAGTCCCAGGATCTGAACGCTCTCACCATCACTCTCAAACTGTATATTACCCTAAAAAATGTGAATTCATTACAGAAATAGAATCTTATCATTACTTAAGCCTTGCAGTGTCCTTACCTATTTTTACGTGACATTTTATATCATTTTATTTTCCCTGTTTTTAAACAACTTACCAAAAGTAGAATGGAAGCAATGATCTGATAAATTGAATAAACTTCCTCTTTCGAGAAGCCGATCACCTCTAGTGCACTCATCACTGCTTTGTGGCTTGACCGATCATTGTTGGAAGTCTGTAAAAAAAGAAACGATTTTGTTAAAAAGAAGGGTAGTAAAGTAAAAGTAAATTATATAAATTTTAAAAGCTGAAGTTCATAGTTATGTTCCTCAAACACAGAAGATATAATTTATGCTTAATAAAGCACATTGATTTATTTAAATCCTTTGTATTGTGCAGTTTTGTTTCATGTCATATCAACACCTGTTTTTCCAACTGTTCACAATGCATCAACCAGAAATGTAAAGATGATAAACTCACCGTAGTTGCAGCTCCCTCTTTGGTATATGCATAAACTGCAGGATCATTCTGTAGATGAAGTGACTCCAGTATTTCAGGGGAGCCTCCACGCAGTAACTGTGAACACAACACAAATATGATTACATCATTGCACATTACATCATTTTTATTTAATGTTTTGATAGCATGGTAGTTGGTTTGAACAAGAGAGTTGCAATTTCCATAATGAGCAGTTGATGGGGTTTAAGGAGTTAAAGTAGAATCACTATATGCTTTACTGTGCAGATCAGACTTTACCTGGTAAAATGAGTGGAAGTTCCTCTCCCCCTCGTGCTGCTGGACCACTCTGGACTTGAACAGGAAAACACATTATGGTAGGAAACTAAACCTTACACACTTAACCTGTTATGACATATGCATTCTACAAGTTGATTTTTTTAGTGTTAAGTGTTGCTTGTTGCACAAGTTGTCCAACCTGCAGTCTGTTCTTACTTTAGTTTTACTCCAAACTGCTTGCAACAATGGCAACAGAATGAGCGTTAAGAGGACTCAAACCTTGCTGGGTTACAAACATGAGGGCTGAGAAAGAAATGAACTGAATGAAACTAACTGAATTTATTACACCTGTAACAATTAGTCTGTTAATCAGTTAAATTTATTTTATTGCCAACTATCTTAATAATCAATCATTTAAGCCAATTCTGAGGAAAACAAACAAAAAATGATGATTCCAGGCACTCAAATGCATGACAATTTCTTGTCTTTCTTAATCTTATGTGATAGTACAATAAATATTTTTGGCTTTTGAGCTGTCTTTAATGATGTCATCCTGGAATATATAGGACTATTTTTCTGTGTTTTATATACTACACCAAATGATTAATCAATTTCTGGAGTAAATAATCAGCAAATTAATCTATAATAAAAACAATCATTAGTTGCTGTCCTAGAATTTATATTAAGCTAAATAATACAAGTTAGCAACATTTCTCAGGGAGGTCCGCAGTCAGATGTGTGAATTTCAGAGGCAACACAGCTCCAAGGAAATCAAAACAAGTTTTCTAGGCCAAAAGGAAAATTGAAAGTAACACTTTGACCTCAAAATGCAACTTGTCATGTGGCCTTACTGGAGTTATCTGTCACTTTCATGTGTCAATAACGGATATTTCCCTGGTTGCCTAACTGTGGAGCAAAATGGTATGTGTAAAAAGGTGTCTGCTCTGTGAGTTTGGGTGAGTGACACAAAATCTTACATATTTCTTTGGTGTTACACAGCTGAAAATATGTCCAGTAGAGCTGCACTAATAGATGGTGCAGGCAAAGCTGGACAACCTAGTTTCCTATAGCAGTAAGAAAAATCCCCATCCAGTAGACAAAATTACCTCCAGCTGTTTTTCTAACAGTGTTTCAGTTTCTCGGTTTGTTTCTTCAAAACAAACCAATTACCAGTTGTGTGACTATAGCAGCACCACTGACTGCTGACAGAGAACTGGATAGCTCAGAAACAGTGGGGTTATTTCTGCCATCAGAGAATTAATCATGGCACCATCATTCACACAGGCTAAAAGTGCCAGACGGTTCTTTATCAGAGGGGATAAATACAGCAGAATCAAGTGCCCCCAGGTGACCCATTCATTAACACACAGCAGCAGCAGCACAGCAGCTTCACAGACACATCTATTTGTGGATATTCCCTCACACCTCTTTGTTCTCACTTCATGAAACATTCATGTTCAGGAGAAAAGACATAATTTAAAAACTAAATGAGGAGAACTTTTCTGTACTTTTCAGTACAAGAGCATATAGCTTCTTGGACCTGTGAAGGTTTCCTGTCTGCTCTGGAGTCGAATCTTCTCTATCATCTTGTCCACCTCCTCTCACCTTCTCCAGCAGGTAGTTGTTGATATGTCCTCCAGTGGGATCGCCATTGAAGTTGAAGTTGATGTCCATGTACTTGCCGAAACGGCTGGAGTTGTCGTTGCGATTTGTCTTGGCGTTCCCAAAGGCCTCCAGCACACAGTTGGACTTGAGCAGCACATTTTTCACACTGATTTATCACATTGTGGTAACCATTGATGGAAATGTGAGAAACATCCATAGGAGAGGTAAAAATTGAGTTAAGAAAGTGAGATGATTTATAATAGCATCACATATTCATGATCCAACTATTGGTTTGTGTTGGAAGTGAAAATCTGTCTTTATCACACTGAAGTTCACATACCGCCTTAATGAATCCTATCATTATTAGTGGTGCAGTCACAATAATAAAAGATCATGGCACCACTCACCTCTCCACTTCTGCCCTCTGGCATGGGTTCGTGATGGCTGCAATGTACTGCATGATGTATTTACTGGCTTCTGTTTTTCCTGCCCCACTTTCACCTGAAACAACAAACACAGACATATTTCACTAACGGACCAGTACAGCTGCATATCATAAAATTTTACATCTCTTTTGTCTGGTAACGTTACAGAGAAATTGAAGATTGCTAAGCTATGAGTGTATGAAACCAATATGCACCAACTTCTGTAACTGACTGCTAACATTTAACTAATATGGGCCAAGTGCTAATCCCAGTAAAATGTCATAAAATGTACACAAATAACGGCCACAAACATTCATACAATGTAGGAGAGCGCCTACCCACCAAAAACTGTACCCACGAAACATCTAATGTAACACCGCAACGGTGAAAATAATGTTAGTGCTAAGCGTTAGCTCACTGTTAGCTGCTTTTTGAGTCCTACACTTTTGTCAAAAGTAAAATATCTTAACAGCTAGCTAGCCTATTGTAGCTGGTAAATTTGCGAGCATCCAGGTTGCCTGATGCATGACTTTTAATAACTCTGGCCGCCCGACAGGTCAAATAAGTCCGCTTATCGTCTTTAGCTCAGGATAGCCGTTAACCTCGCTAACATAGTTTAATGCTAACGCAGCATTATAAATGCTAGCTACCAAATAAGCTACCGTTAACTATATCGTGCCATACTAATAACTGTAGTTTACTATATATTACAGATTCGAACAATTAGAATTACAATTGCAGCTGTCACTAAATTAAAAACCTATAATGCCATTCAGTACCTTTTTCACAGTCATACCAGTAATGACAGAAAACAAACAAAAAGGCCAATTAAAACATTTTTGTCAGTACTTCCCAGCTAACCTCTTTAATATAATTAGCAGTGGTAGAAAGTAACTAAGTACATTTTCTCAAGTACTTAAGTACTAGTTAAGTCTTGAGTTGTACTTTAGTTTTTCCTACTTTTTACTTCACTACATTTCAAAGGCAAATTTGACTTTCTATTGCACTATATTTAGCCTATTACTTACTTTTCACAATCAGTTTAATAAAACAAAATACATCATAGTCAAAAGACTTTATTGTTCAATAGTGGGAAATTCACAATACCCAGCACTATGCAAAGTATTTATATAGGCTGTATGCTTTTTAGTTTTTCAATTTGTAGGCTAATGAGCATTTTCAACTACTAAATTTATTCCTCTTAGACTATACATTTGTTGTGTTGACTTTACTTTAAACACAATATATTTAAACAAATTTGTTATTTCTCACCAGGTTAAATTTAGAGTGTAAGAAATATCACCTGAATGAAAAACTGTAGCAAAAACTTCACACCGTTAACTTCACTGTTACATCCCCAGTGTAAGAAGGAGCGTTACTTCAGGCCATTCCTCCCCACAACAATCAGACTGTACAACACATCACTGCAATAATAAGATAGGTGAAATTATGAGGGACTATGTAATAATCTACTGAGGTGCAATATTCAGCTCCCATGTGTGAAATGCATTGTAAATAGGCTAATGTGTAATATCTTGTTCCTGATCTCTCTCAAATACTGTACATTGCCCTGGTTTAGGTATTTTTGAGCAGTTGCTCAGAGATCCTTATGGCTGAAACACAGGTTTCTCTTCCCCACTGTGGGATTAATTGTGTGAGTAATATTCAATTGTTCTTGATTTACCGGTTGTTTAGTCTCTACTGCTGTTCCTGATTCTCTCCAGTGCTGCTTTGCCCTGTTTTTAGGTGCCTTTGATTTGCTTATTTGTGCTGTGTAAAATGTAATGTTCTGATGATGCTACTTTTATAATCCTTGTGCATATTGGTTCTAATGCTTTGTTGCCTTTATGTAACTGTTTATTTTAAGACTAAGTGTTCTTTGTTACTACGTACTTACGTACGCATGCGCCGCGCGGAGTGGCAGCAGGTTACAGCAGCTGCCAGCAGGACTGTGGCTCATGAGGTAATGTTTATCAGTGAGGAAGAGACAGACCTGATATGACAATGCAGCTATCTTTGGCCCGTCTCTTCATGGCCTTATAGGCAGCATCAGACACTGCATAGAGGTGGGGAGGGTTTTCATACAGCTCCCGGCCCCGGTAGGCATCTATGGTATCTTTCCCATAAATGTCCATCTGTCTGTATGGGTTAACAGAGACGACTACTTCTCCAATGTAGGTGTAGATGCGGCCCTTCTCAAACCTGTTCACACAAACGACAATCACATGCATTAGTAGATTATAACTGCTGTTTTGTCATGGTGAGATTATATGCACAGATCTCATTTATGTACATGTAGGTATTCTACAAGTATTTACTGTAAATATAACATCAATTTATATATGTGGGGAATAAATATTTCATTTTTAAAATTAATTTAAGAGAACAAAGAGCAGTTTAACCTTGACAGTTTCACATCACCCATTAAAAAAACCCTTCAAGCTAAAGGTTCCAGAAAAGATTATACACCTCTGTCACACTGCATGTCACTGACAGGAAGTGACACAAGTGTGTGTACGCTGGAAGCAGGAAATGAAACTTGTGGTTCAAAGGGTGTCATCTCCTTGTGTAACCTCTCATGGGTTTGTTGAGCTGGGAGGTGTAACATTGGTGTAACACAAATTGAGCTTCTACTGAAACAACAGGTTTTCAGTAGCAGGTCAGAGTAAATCAACTGTGTCAACATGTCCCAGGTGTGCCTAAGTACTCTGACCCTGAACAACAGGTGTTCACTGGTTGCACAAGTTCTGTCTACATTCGGCGACGGACCCTCCAAAATGCACATTTGTAGAAATAATAAAGTATAGTGGGATGAGAATGGGCTTAGACTCATTTAGAGTCTAGGAAAGCCTGTTTGGGTGGTGTCCAGAAAGATCCTGTCCCTGAAATGAGACACAGCTATATGTGATGATGGCAGCATCTGAGTCACTGAGAAGATTGCTTTATCTTTTTCACTGGTTCAAATCATCCCTGGAGGCAAGAATATTGCTTTTGCACTGCCACAACAAATTTGAGGTTTCCTCTGAGTAAGAGTTGGGTTTGATGTCAAAGAACAGACAAGTGACCCCAGTCTGCTTTCTGGTAACATATTGAATAGACTGACCAATGATCTGATATAAACTAGACACCCAGAGAATGAAGAATGAAAATCTTTGACAACAGTAAACAATTTTTGCAGCTTGTTACACCAAAACTATGAATTTTTAGAAGACTCACATTTAGAAATCAACTCTCAGTCTCTATGAGTTTGAATTGGCTAAATATGAAATTCCAAAAAACCAAGAAAAGCACCAACAAAATCAAATATATTGCTAAGGCCTCTGTGCAAAAGGTGAAGGAAAACTGTGCAAAAGCAAAATAACAGACACAAACACAGACCTTTGCAAATGCAAACACCTGAGCACACATAGATACTGAAAACTGGATGAAATCATCACAGCAGCATGTACTGTATCTGCCCAAACTTTACTACATGTCTTACCGCCAGGCAAGTCTGATCAAGCTGTGTGATGAAACTCTAGATACATGCACTATTTGCCAACCAGAGATGGCACACAGAGGCCCACCCATGGTACAGAAACTATGTGAAAAATGTTCATTGAAAATCATCTGCTGTGCACACGTCAGCGGAGAAAGTGCAAATCAAATTCTCTATTTCTGTGCTTCTATGTCTGTTTTTATTTACTGGCAATTTTGTTATTTGTCTGCCTCTGCTGGTCCTCAGATGACTGCTGTGGGCAAAACTCCTACAGTTTGAGTTGATAACATTATGCTCCCATGAAAGATGGTCAAGAAAAAAATATCACAGTGTGGACTCAAAGTCAAGAGACAATTTTAAAATCTCTGAACACTTGGAATAATAGAAAGGTCACAAGGAAAGATATCACCAAAAATGTTACATTAACATTTTAAGTTGGACAGGTTTAGATTAGATGTTTTACTGATATTGTGCCTGTGCTTCATTTTCTTCAGATGACAGCCAGTGTAATGTGGTGGTGAATATATCAACCACATGTTCATGTCTGAACCCCAAGAGTGAGCGGGAACATCAAGGTAGAAGTGACTCACGTCTGTTCCGCTATTTTTCCTTTTGTTTCATCTTTATCACCTATCTCAGCTTTTGAAAGTCCAAGTCCCAATTCTGTAAACTTGGTAATTCAGTGCTGTTACAAGAAATTAAAGTTTGTGTCCTAGAGACAGTCAAATGTGAGAGTATGCACCATCATCTCACTTATTTTACACCCATTTGTACTTATTCTACAGCCAAAGACTTGAAGATGTAAATGCATCAGATATATATGGAACGTTAACCTTTACATTTCTGACACTCAGCTCCTTCCTCCTTCCCTCATTTCCTTCTCTCAAACAGTATCTCAGGCCTTACCTCAGCTTCAGATTCTCCATGAACTGCTCCATCGTCACCTCATCCAGGAGCACAAAGTCTGACTTCCCAAACTCCAGACCCTCCAGCTCTGACATGTCTGTAGTCGCTAAACACACAAAAATAAATGAACAAGGACACAGAGACGCAGAAACTAGCGCAAGGGAGAAGAAAGAGAAGTGTGGTCGACTTCTGGGGCCCGGTAGTGTAGACAGTGTGTGTGGGTGTGGCGTGGTGTACTTAGTCAAGTCACAGTGTTCTACAAGTTGCAGCACGTCATCCTATCATTCAGCTTATGCCCTATATAAATAGAGGGAGGCTATCTTTAAAAGCTCATACCACTTCTGCATCCTCCTTCGCTTCTCTCTTCCTGCCAGAAGGCCTCCAAGTTTCTAACCTGTCACTATAGTGTGGCTCATTTCAGACTTGTTTTTTTGTATATCTTTTCTTCCCAGAAACAGGACCCCACATCTGACATGCTGCCAGTTAACCTTAGAAATTTGAGGGTAGAAAATTGCCCTTATCTCCTGAGAAGCACTGAGGCATTTCCTTTCTAAGCATGACACTGGCAGTACAACACATCCCTGAAGGGTTTCTCTTAACCAGGGGTTCCCAAGTCACAGTAGGATCAGGCTGGAACCTGAAAAACTTGGTTAGGTTCCCAGAGTCGATGCTGCCTAAACCAGGAACAGTGCATTTCTGAATCATTTTTCACACCTGTTGACTTTTTCTATTAAACTCAAAACTTTTTAAAAACCTTCCAGGGTAGTTTATTCCTTTGGGATATACTGGAGGGATGAAATAATAATAATAAGTACTGAGATCTGAGCAAATATGAAGTCTATGCAATAGAAGTGAAAGCTCTGAAAAAAAAGCTGGTACACAAGCCTTGTTTCCAAAGGAACTTTATCTGGGGAAGAGGAACCTTTTTACAGAACTTAGTTCCTCTACCAGAATTTCCATCAGAGGAAGCAGTATTGCGCTATTATATCAGTGTTTCATTTGTTTAATCTTGCAGGCTTTGGCCCTGCTGAGGAAATCCAAATAAAAATGCATTTGAAGGACTTTTACCCCAGGGAAAGTTCTTGGACTTTAGTTCCTGGGAACCAGTACCAAGAACTTTCCAGAGGAAACACACCTTTAGACTTTGAAATAGTATCATTGTCAAACTACAATTCCAAGTGAAGATTGAAATTGAATGGTTAATGTTTTTTTATTTTTATTTGGGTGAACTAAAAATGTTAAAGAAAATAGTCAGTTAATCCAATAGACTGTTAGCTTCGATGTTTGGCTAAAAATAATGTAATGATGGAGAACTCAGTGAGTTGTTTCTGGACCTCTCCCAGTTTTCTGTCAGTTAACAGTATATTTCATCCACGTTTTTGAAATAACCAAAAACAAACAAACTTGAAGTGGGAAAGCCACAGCACAAGGTTTTCTCATCATTCTGATCTATTTATTACTGTGAAAAGGCCTCTGAGTCACAATTATAGCCATGTGTGCAGCCCTGCTTAATTCATACTTGATACAAGCACTGACTGGAAATTTATATGAGCAAAGGGACTTTACCATCAAACTGAAACACTATTAGAAATACGCACCTACCTACTGTGGACCTGACATCCTGTTGTTCTCTTTTATTTCTGTGATGAAATGATAACAGTTCAGAGTAAAACATCCAGTTACTAGTTATAACAACACTTACATGTTTTTAACTACACTTGCATGTTAAATCCCCCCCAGCCATCAGTACTCCCTCTCTCTACATGAGTTCAGACATAGTTGTCAGAGACTGGCTCACTTCCTGCTCATGCTTCCTCTCTCATCTATTTCTGTCTCCATCTAGATTCAGGTGTTAAAATTGCCCTAGATGCACAATGTAATTAGGTAGTGCATGAACAAATTGAGATTAAACAGACTCATTACCACATTTGATTACCACTCAAATATCAATCAAATCACTCAGGGTAATTTAGTGTTAGTGTTTTCTTTAATGGACATTTTTGGAATTAATTGCCATTTACATAATTCAAATTTCAGCCACTGTACAGATATTTATTAATAATTTTCTATTTGCAATATTGAAAGGTTAACAAAATAATTGATTTATATGCCTCAAAAACTAATTTTGCCCTGTTTTCAAGCCCAGCACAAACAATAAATCATTCTGCAGCTAAATGGCTGATAGATAATAATACCCTAACAAATATCTGTGAATTAAATTTGCAAAAGTAACTGTCCCTTAATATCATAATGTTTTAACCTAAAAAAACGTCTTCTGTAATGAATATAAAAACAAAGTATTCATAGGTATTTGACATACACACAGACCCAAGACCTGTGGCAGTGAAATGAGACTCAGCCAGATTAGGCTGAGTCAAAGTTTAATTAGTGTAGCACAGAGACAGCCAAGCTGCCCAGAGCTACTGCTGTTAAAAACACAGCTGATAACTTATTAGTGGGCTTTAGAGGTGTCTCTATGCGGATGTGACAGAGCCAGACTAGCTGGTTCTCCAAGCTCAGTGTTGGTGCTGAGCTAAGCATTTGCCAGCTGAAGCCTCATATTTACTGTACAAACATGAGAGTGGTACAAATCCTGTCAACTGACTTTCAGTCACAGAGTGAATAAACACATTTCCCAACATGTCAAACTTCTCCTTTAACAGCCATTTACTTTCATATGTCATAATCAGCCTGACAACAAAACATGATCAAAAATAATACCAAAAAAAAAAAAGTTTCAACTAAGAGATTCACTGCTTCTTACACTGTCCTGGCAACTGTTTAAACTTTTTCTTAATGTTTTGTGGCCATGTACTTAGGCTTTGCTTGAAGACTGGTTTAGAAGGCAGGGATTTCTTCTCTCTCTCTTGCTGCAGGTATCCATTAGACCATTGTTTTTCACAGGACTGGCTTCTTGTCCTTACAGCTGCACTTTGTCCAGAATGAGCTGCAGCCCCTTGCTCAGACTCAGCACCTTCCTGTTTATCATGCTGCCGCTTTGATAGGGAGTAACCTGCAGCTCCAACAGGCTTTGATGAATTAGTGATGGTACCACTATCTCTTTCTGTGCTCCTTCGACTGACTGCTGCCAGAGAGCTGCTCCTCCTCCTGGAGTTTCTGTCAAATGTCCTTCCTGTACGTCCTGATTGCTCAACTGGCCTTCCCAGCAGCCTCTGCTTCACCTCGTAGCTCTCACCAGATGGTCCTATGAGGTGAAGTCTGCCATCCATCTCACACAGGAGCACTGAATTGTAAATGTTTTTGTTTTCCAGAATCCTCTCTAAAAGAGCTTCTTCCTTGACATCCTTCCAAGAAACTTCCTGTGTGCGTAGGGATTTGCTTAGATCATACAGAAGGCTCTGTAGTTTTCCAGCAGCTCTCTGTGCGCTCCTTCCTCTCACAGTGATGTTGGAGCTCTCGCCAAAGTAATCCACTCTCATTGTAACACCATGGCTATTCAGGATGTTGACGATGTCACTTTTCCTGAGCTGCTCTGCGTACCTAATCACATCTCCATCAATGACAAATGACTCACATCCAACCCTGAGTGAAGCACACTGCTCTGGTCTTGGAGAGGAAGACGCTCTGTATTGTGGAGAGGCTGGACGATAGTGGGAAGTGTCTGACACCCAAGATGGAGAGGTGCTGGCTGACATCGGAGTAGTGCATTTATCTCTGGACCCCAACCTGCTACTGTTACCATCTGACACTGAGCAGCTGGTGCTGTAGTATTTGGAAATGGCTCCAGAGGAGGATGTTTGGACTGGAGGACAAGTGGGTGAGTATGGCGTTGCCTTGGTCTGGGTTTGTGAGCGGAGAAGACACTCCAAATGGGCCTTCGCATCTTTGAGCTTCAAAAAGGAACCCTTGATATGCACCTTATTTCTGTCCAGATCCTGCACCACTTGAAAGTCATGTGACGTGAGGATTTGTCGAACTTTTGTCCCATCTTGAAAAGCATTCAAATCAACTCTTGCTTCCACTGGGAAATCCATCTGAGAAAAGCAAGAGAGGGACAAAATGACTCAGAGCTTTTCTGTTTACAGTCACCTCAGACAGTATTCAAACCCTCTTACTTTTTGGACACTTTGTGTTGTAGTGTTGATTTTAGATAAATACAATTTCTGCCCATTAATCTACAATCTCTAACCTTTATTTGTGTATTTATTTTTCATAAAGTGTTAGGAAAGTGCTCTTTTCTGTGCTACACTTTTATTATTTGGTGCTCATGTATTGCTTGTCTTTTCAGTTTTTTTTTGTAAACTGCTTACATAACCCTCAAGGTGCTTTATTCCATGTAATTTTTATGTTTGTTATTTTTATGCCTATTCAACATGTTCACCTACAATTTGTTTTAAAAACTGTTTTCAAAAATACTTGACTGAGTGAGGACAGTCTATCCTCATTACTACAGGTGAGCTAGGATTTCACATTTGGCTTTAATTATTATGAAGATTAATCATTTTATAATGCTTCAACTCTTTATCTTAAGTGTATCTTGTTATATTATCTGCTTGCTCTTTAGTATTCTGTCCATTTATCATTATTCCTTAGCCCATTATTGAATCTGTCTGTTTATTAATTAGCTATTATTGCTGAGGCTCTTGTTGCTTAAGTTGTTTGGTTTGCAGACTTGCATTCCCTTTCCTGAATAGGTCCAATCAATCAATCAATCATGAATCATAGACTTTCCTAGGGGTTTAAAGTCCTGATACAGACTATTTCAAGGTACCTCATTGCTTAATAAACCATCTTTATAAGTGAAAGTCACAAGCCTTCATCACTGTATAGCAGTAAATGAGGACATATAATAATAGTGCACTGTATCCTGACTGTCAGTAGAGGGCGATAAAGGGTCACAGACAAGCTAATAATGCTTTAAATTAGTAATTAATTTAGATGGAAACTTCAAAAAACACCCTTAGTTAGCTTTGCTGTTAACCCATCTCTGCCTTCACCACCACCCTCATCCTCATTAAACATTAGGTTTTATGAGGATGCAGAATGATTTGTCCTCTGGCTCCTCAAACATGATGAAAACAGCACCTCGCCTCCTTCCATGTCCGTGAGTGACTCAATAAATATCTCTACAATTTATCTGCTATCGTGTCAGCTGGTAAAACATCTGGCACCGCCAAAACCTCAGACACTAGTCTCCTTTCGTTTCTGCTCAGGTCGGGTCTGTGCCAGCGACAGTAAACACCTTTTTCTGCTATGTTGCTTCCACCGTGATAAATGGATGTCGTGAAATCTAAAGTCTAAGACGTTTCATCGAAGGTTAAAGTGACGCTTCAGGTGAAATGAGACCAATTTTAATGTCTGGAAATTAAGATTCACTCCCGTGGAAAACAGCGAATGCACCGAAACAGTAGCGGAGATGCTCTTTGCAAAGCCGCAGCTGCTTCTGATGGGACACATCCCCTAATGTCTTAGAGACGCATCTATTACAGGTCCACAGTAAACTAAATCTACAACACTGTGGTGTCGGTCACAGCAGTAACTTACTGTCCAGCTCACTTCTGTTTACTTCACGAGTTGATTTCCTTCAGGCGTTGTTGAAACCGAAAGTGCAACATCACGTCCGCTCTCAGTAAGGACGTTTCCGTATCTGCCCTCATGAAAACAAAAGTTTAAATACTGTATATTTCAACTAATGTAAGCATTTTACTTTGCCTATGATAGGCCTGTCTTGTTTACCATTAGTCTGCCATTTTTTTTGCAAGATAATAATTAAACTACAAAGCAAGCAGCCTCCTCTAATTTCTTGCTTAGCTCTTTCACTGACTTCACTGAAGAAAACAGTGACACCTGCAACACATTTCAAAAAAAAGTTGGGACAGTTGAATTTTAGGGCTAGTAATGAGGTAAAACACAAAGTGGAAATGCGCACTGTGGTCAGACAAATCAGTATTTTAGGTCTTTTTGGAAGAAATGGACACCGTGTTGTAAGATTTGATTCTTATAGGCTCTAGTTACTTTATAAGTAACTATTATATTAGCTTTATATATGTTAGGTGTTTTTAGTCAGATAGAAATTGGATAGATACTTTATGTATTAGAAATGTTTAGTGGAGATAGGATGTCTAGTTAGACTGTTAAATGCTTAGTCATGCTTATGAGTTTCTACAGGGTACATCTGGTCAAGGATAACTAGAGAGAAGAGTTGATGACTGTCAGCAGACAGGGTGTTTAATATTATTATTATGACGTGTATAACTGTAGCCTTAGCCATAATAGGTTCTTATGTTTAAGCCACGACATGTTACTAGAGGTCGTGAGAATGTTTTTAGCTACACACCACTTAACCAACAGACACACACATTGATTTACTTCATGTTTTGACTACTGCTATGACCAGCTGCAAAGCTGGTAACAGAGACGTCTCTGTTGACGTTTCTGTGTAGTATGGGGCTAGCCCAACCAAAGGGATATAATGTATAGGCCTGGTGGATTCAGGGTCTTTCATCTTACATCTGCCTGCGAGAAGTTTGGAGGTGCAAGATACCTGAGCGTGTAATGTTAATTTTACCTGTAATCCTTTGAATAAATCAGCACTGTTTTGAAGTTACTTGGACTGTCTCGTCTCTCAGAGATAGCAATGGTAAGAAGAACCAAAGACCAACAAAAGACTAAGGTTATTTGGAGTGCAGGGGACACTCCTGAGGACCTCCGACACAGCAATAGCATCAGCCATCTACTATGGAATGGTCAGCCGGGGCAGCAGCATGTCGGCCAATTGTATTGATGAGAGTCAAGTGATACTGAAGTAGAAACTGCCTACTTTAACTTCTGTGTTGACATAGTGTCTGTATCTTCAAGTAACCAGCCTATTTTACATTTTAACAAAGACCCGTTGGCCTGTTTTGCACCTTCACCTGGACCCGTTTAGCATACTCACAAGGTCCTGCTTTCTCCTGTAATAGGATTACACAGATAGGGGGTCTACAGTGCAGACAACCAATTGTTCAGTGTTCATTGATCAGTTGCCGCCTGGAAAATCACAACACACACACACAGGGGTTGACCAATGACCAATAGGATTATGAAGCATGTGTCGTACCTCTGTCCAGGGCGGGCCAGCCCAAGAAGATAAATGTAACGAGAAAACGTAACTTGTGGCTCAGAGAACAGATTTCCTGCGGGAGCTCTGTCTCTCTGATCCCAGCGCTGTAAGACTTCACTTGTGCCCAGACTTTGAGTAAACTTTCTGTTGATTTTAAACAGTCCTCTCCTGTCTTCACTTCTTGTGCTTCCAACAAAAGAACTGGGTTATTTTTAACAGTGTGCTCTGGACCAAGGATGAAAAGGACCATTCAGACTGTTAGCAGCGGCAAGTCCCAAAGCCAGGGGTCTGTCATGGTCTGGGGTTGTATGCTACAGGTCACTGTACACCACAACAACCGGACACAAGGACAGTTTCTTTCCCCAGGCCGTCACTCTGATGAACAGTTAATCGATGTTTAATATGTAGAACAAGATACAGCAAACACCACAGCGCAATAACTTATAGACATAACCATTGTACATAAAATAGCTAATTTTTAACTTTTACATATTTAGAAATAGATGATTGTTTTCTTGTTTTTTTTTAACTTTCTTCTGTTTTATTTAGTGCATGTTGAGTCAAATTCCTTGTATTTTAACCTATTTGGCAATAAAGTTTATGCTTGATTGATTTACATTGTGTAATATGTACTCTTAGGAGTCATGTAAGAGGCTTTTTTGTTAGTGTATTAAAATGCATGTTTATTAAATGGGGTTGTTATAATTACATGTGTTCATCCACACTCACTTTTAGGGGCAATTTAAAGTCACCAATTAGCCTAAGCTGCATGTCTTTGGACTGTGGGAGGAGGCCGAATCACTCGGAGAGAACCCACGCAGGCAAAGTGAGAACATACAAACTCCACACAGAAAGGCCCTGAACCCGGAACCTTCGTGCTGTGAGGCAACAGTGCTGATCACTGCACCGCTGTGACCCTATGAATACACCTTTAAAACAAAATTGGCTTTGACGGATCAAGTCGGGGCAGTTTCCCCTTCTCTTTGGTTGGCAGAATCAATTCAGTAAGGATGAACATCTTCCTTAGACTTTTTTCCTTTTTTCAGTAACTCCTGATATGTAGACTGTACTGCTTGCAACCTTCCTGAATTTGGTTGTTTCAATATTGTACGTTTTCTCAATACTATGTGAATTTGAGGCCAAATTAGTGAAAATATTTTCTTAATTTGCTAGTGTACTTGCATGTGTTTTCTCAAGTTGCAGTGCAGAGTTTAGACGGCTTACACTGATGTATTCTCTCAGGCATACAAGTACAGATGTTTTGTGAATTGTTTGATGCTGCTGATTGACTGTAACAGACCGGGGTGGGTTTATATAAGTTTGAGTTCTTCCCACTCCGTTTTGAACAAATCGCTGATCTATGTTGTAAATGTAAGGTGACTATACCTTGTATGGGTCGAATGCTTCTTATTGCCTTGTTATATGTTTCTCAAAAGAAATAAATAAAAATAAATGTCTCTAGACCAGCCATAAGCTGCCAGTTATTGAGCTGTTCTTCAACATTTGTCAGTGTGGCCTTCAGTTTTTTGTTTTCACCTTTTATATTGTTAAGCTTAGCCTCATTGGTGTGTATCATTTGTTCCAGCTCCTCAAAGTGACACTTTTCCTGCTGCTCATACTTCATACGAGCCTTCTTCAGGGTATTAGTTTGGCTCATAGAAGAGAGCTTTGTATTTGTTCAAGAGATGGTGAGACTCTAGCTGTTCTTCCTTGTTCTTTAGTGCTGCCATGAGAGCGTTCTTCTCTTGCAGTAGATTATTGTGCTCAGTGTCATTGGCGGCTCTGCATTTCTCAATTTCATCCAGCAGGGAAGCTTTCTCCTGTTTCCACTGCAGGCGCTCATTCTCTGCCTTCTCTATGAATGTCTCCAAACCAGCCACAAGCTGCTGTACCTCTTTCTTTTGCTGCTCAAGGTTGGCAGCATAGAAGCACTGGGTGTTGATCTCAAGACAGCAGTTATTGAGCTGTTCTTCAACATTTGTCAGTGTGGCCTTCAGTTTTTTGTTTTCACCTTTTATATTGTTAAGCTCAGCCTCACTGGTGGCTTTGGTGGCTGCCAGTTCTTCCAGCTCCTCAAGGTGACACTTTTCCTGCTGCTCCCAGTGGAGACGCTCCTTGCTGAGCTTTTCCTCAGCTTTCCTCCGAGCTGCTCTGAGGTTTCTGAGGTTTCTGATTTCTAAATTGTTAGGCTCAGTAACATGGGATGATGTAGGCATATCCATTTCAATCAGCGGGGAGGCTTTCTCCTGTTTCCACTGGAGGCAGTCATTCTCTACTGTCACCCTGATTGTCTCTATATCAGCCACAAGCTGCTGTGCCTCTTTCATTTGCTGCTCCTGGAGGGCAACATCGCAGTGCTGGGGGTTGTCCAGGTTTGCCTGGAGGGCACACCTCTCCTCCTGCCACTGGTGCTCTGCCTGCTTCTGAGCAGCAATCAGCTGATTATTCTCAAGACAGCAGGTGTTGAGCTGTTCCTCAACATTTGTCAGTGTGGCCTTCAGTTTTTTGTTTTCACCTTTTATATTTAGTGGCTGTCAATTGCTGACACCCTATTTTGTCTTCCACCAACCTATCACACAAAGGTGATGAAGATTCCAGCATTGTCCCCTTTTGGACCTTAGTTTTTTTGCACCTCTTCTTTGTTTGTTTCTTGGTACTCTTTCTACTCTGTGCACACCCCATAGTGAAAACAAACTTTGAAATGTTATATGGTACACAACTTCTGAAATCAGTCAGTCTACATTTAACCCCAGGCTGCGAGCCAGACTGCGCTGCTGACAGGTACTGTAAGTAGCTGTACAGGCAGGCATGCAGTCAGTCATGTATTCTAGAGCAATGCGCCGGACACTGGCTGCTCATAGCTGACTTTAAATTGCACATCAGACACAACCATAAAAGAATGCTGATGAAACTGCAAGAAATATTCCAGTTATTGCAACTTTAATTTTTCCAAACTATTTACATCAAACATCCTTCTGCTTCTGGTCAGGACTTCCACGAAACAGCTGCAATTAGAATTGCAGTTTTAAAGGTGTGTGCATGCTGGGCACAAGTACTCCTTTTCCACAGGAGGATGCTGAACACAGCTAACGTGAAACCACCTCTCACAGCTGTCGCAGTAAATCTGTAAAATAAATAAAACAATAATTTGAAACTATAAAGGGAGATTACAGAGAGCTCAGGAGGTTCACAAAATATTCAAAGGTTCTCCTTTTCAAAATTGACCAACAAGATTTTGGCACTAAAATATAAAGGAAAACCCTTTATAAATGTATACACTTGTATTCATTGGCGTTTGGCCAGGAATGAGACTCTGTCTGTAGTGTTAGTGTCTATATTATTGTTTATAGCTTTTTATGTGTTGTTTTTATATTTGCATGATATGTTAAGTGCTTTGGTCAGCTGTGCTGTGGTAAAGCGCTATTTA